CCACCATTAATCTGAAGGTTTAATTATGTTCCAATTATTAAATTTGCCCTGGTGTGAGCACTGCTGTGTGATTTTGGAATTTTAGTCTCTTGAAATTTTTTTAGTAGTTTCTATTCATCAGTTTTTTTTGCTTGCATGTCTTTAGTTCATGAAAATGTGATATCGTTACTGTTTTAACTAATTTATCTCCTGTTCCTGTCCTTTGATGATCAGGTTCTTTGGCCTGAATGTGGCTGGCAGCCTGTTTCTTTGACAGATTTAATAACAGCTGCCGCAGTTAAAAAGGCTTATAGAAAGGCGACTCTTTGCATCCATCCTGATAAAGTCCAGCAAAAAGGCGCCAATCTTCAGCAAAAATATGTTGCAGAGAAGGTCTTTGACTTGCTCAAGGTACTTCAAAAAAATTTTGCCTGAAGAACTTTATGGTTGATGTCCTATTTTACTATTAGAGACTCGTTTGTACTGATTGCTATTTTTATTTGTCACATTTTCTAAGAAGTAAATCGTGGTATTTGTATATTAGCATATTAAATATTAATGTCATGTTACTGCCGCATTTCCTTCCATCTTGTTTTCGTTCTCATGGTAAATCTTATCTCTTTGGTAAATAGGAAGCATGGAACAAGTTCAATTCGGAGGAGCTTTTCTGAGTTTCAAATCGTCGAGCTAAAGAAATTTGTCATTTGGCGAAGTAGGCACTGGGTTTGAATGAATACATGACTCTCAAGCTGCTATAATTCTCTCAGCTGCTGCTGCGCACCTGCCTGCTTCGGTATGATGATTCATTAAGTCAACTATTAAAGAATGGCATACGATGCCTGCTTCAAAGGCTTGTAAGGTGTACCGTATGGGAAGGGGGTGAAGTACATACACTCTTCTTTTCTTCAGGTTGCTGTACATTAAATCTTCATCCAGGTACTTCGTGTGCAAAATATGGGATCTCCAGGTTAAGTGTAGATTATATAATTCACCGAATTGGCGGTTCTATCGTGGAGGGGATATTTTTGTTAATTCTTTCTTAATATTTGTTTTGTTTGTGTTTTGTTTCCCCCATTACCCTACTTTTTTGTGGCAATTAGTGTTCTTTTGGTATCGTAAGAATAGTAGGAAATATGTATTGATTGTTGAGAGAGAGGTACTCCGAGGTGGATCATTAATATAATGCCATTTGTTTCTTCCGTGCCACGTACTGTTCTTTTAAATTTGCTTAGCCTTTTCTTTTTATATATTTGGCAAGATTTATGGGTTTAAGCCTTTCCCAAGTTTTTGTTCTCTTCTCTTCTTTTTTTCCATGTTGGATTGAAATGCTTGTGTATTTGTCATGGAGTTGTTACCTTTGGTGCCTCGGAGCTGTTTTCCTTGATAGTAGGGGTGTACAAAAAATTCGAATATTCGATTTTGTGAAAAAAATATTCGAAACCGGATTTGGGATTTTCAAATCGGTTTTTTTTTAACCGGATCAGATTTTTTTAAACCGGTTATTTTAACCGGTTTAGAAAAAAAAATCTAGACCGGTTTTTTTACCGGATAAAAAACCGATTTGAAGAAAATCAGTTAAAAAATCGGTTTTTATCCGAAAAAAAAAATCGGTATGGGTTTAAAAAATTAGTCGTTAATATAGCCGTTGGGGGGATTTTGTGACACGTTTTTGACCCTTTTTTTCTTAAAAAAATTACCATTTTACCACCCTAAACATGTATAAATAGGTTGGGGATGTATTTGGTTGATTACAACTTTCTCAAATCTTATTACACAACACCTAAACATCTCTCAAATCTTATTTTTGTAATTTTTTGTTCATCATGAGTAACACGGCTGAATCTTCCGTCGGGGAAACCAAGTCGTGAGAGTGATCGAACACACTCGAAACAAAGATATTTGGATCACTATGATTTATGTGAGATGTCAAATGGCTCGAGGAGGGCGCGTTGTAAACTTTGTCTAAAGTTTCTTGCATCGGAAGGAAACACAACGTTGAAGAACCATTTGACAAAATCATGCAAGGCACTTCGCTCAAGATTGGATCCTAGTCAATCGAATCTTACACCGCAAGGTGATGTTTTTGTTTACGACAATGAAAAATTACGAGAAACGTTTACAAAGTTCGTGATTACAAAAGCATTGCCGTTCGACCACTTTGATGATGAAGATTTCACGACAACAATTCAACAACTAATGCAACCACGTTATACTCAAGTAAGTCGTACTACCCTTATAAGAGATGCTATAAAAATGTGGCGTACGGCGAGGGAAAAATGATTTTAGGATTCCAAGAACACCGTTATGGTGTGTCGCTTACATGTGACGTTGGAGTTCCCCTCATAATACCGGAAATTCTTTTTAGCCGTTACGTCACATTGGTTAGATCAAGATAATTGGCAAATGATGAAAAGAACAATCGCGTTTGAATTATTCGGTGATCCGCATACCGGTGCTAATTTATTTACACTTTTAAAAAGGGCAATTTGTCTTTATAAATTAGAAAATAAAATTTTTTCTATATCCTTTGATAATGCATCGAATAATACAAACGCGGTTCCAAGATTGAAAATATTATTTTCACCGATTTTAGACGGTGCGTTTTTTCATACCCGTTGCGTTGTACACATAATTAATTTATCCGTGCAAGCTGGTTTGTAGGTTATTGAGCCAATTAGATTAGAATTTAAAACAATGATAAAATCGATTCTTTGTAACAACAACAAAAGACTAAATGATTATAAACGATTTTGTAAGTCCGTTAATAAAAAAGCTTTGGGTCATAATTTGGATTGTCCAACTCGTTGGAACTCAACTTGGATGATGATGCATAATGCCTTAAGGCAAAGGGAAACATTGCAAACATTTCACGATCGGCTTTTCGAGAGGGGTCATGTCCCAAACATTTATCCGGATTCGAGTTGGGAAACTATAGCCAAAATAACCGATTTGCTTGGGGTTTTTAAAAATGTAACAACTTTTTTATCCGGTGTTTATTACCCTACTAGTCCGTTGGTTCTTAATCAAATATTTTTGTTGGCTACCCGACTAAATGACTTTGAATTTGAAACCGAAGTTTTTCAAGAAATTGGCTTTGCAATGAAGGAAAAACTTTTAAAATATTTTAAGGAGATTCCCCCCATTTTTACTTGTGCCGCCGCTTTAAACCCAACGTTAAATGTTGGCGGGGTTGAAACACTAATTGAACAAATTGCGTTTGCTTTTAATCTAACCGATGATGAACCAAACTTTGTCCAAAACCAAATAAATTATTTTAACAAATGTTTTCGAGACATGTTTGCAATTTATTTAACTAAATACGGATCAAGTAGTGTAATACACGATCAAATGAGAATGAATGCGGAATCATCTAGTAGACGTCCAAGTAACATAAATTTGAATCTTTTTAACACTCTTGTAAATTCCCAATCCAAACGATCACGTACTACCACCCCAAGTAGCGAGTTGGGAAATTACATGTCATGCGATTTTCTATCAAAAATGACATTTGAAGAGTTTGAAAGTTTGGATATTTTGGCTTGGTGGAAAGAAAAGGAAACACAATTTCCGATTCTAGCCGCCATGGCCCGTGATTTACTAACCGTCCAAGCTTCTACGGTAGCTTCGGAATCCGCTTTTTCTGTTAGTGGCAGTGTTATATCGCAACGGAGATCAAGACTAAGTCCCGAGTCGGTGGAAGTATGCATTTGTTTAAAGGATTATTTGGATGGAGCGGTTCGTAAGTAACATATCACCACCCTAGAAGATGCAATTGATGCCGATTTGGAAGCAAACTTCACATTGAAGAAGTCGAACTTGGAATATCCCCTCCAAACGAAGAAGGCGAAGATGATGAAAAAGAGATGGCAATGTAGTTTATTTTTAAATTTTATTTTAATTATCGTAAATTTTGTTTCAATTATCGAACTTAAAGTTTTTAAGTATTTGAATTTATCGAATTTGGAAGTTTTAAGTATTTGAATTTATCAAACTTGGAAGTATTTAAGTATTTCAATTATCGTAAACTTTGTTGCAATTGATGACGATGTAATTTTAATAATATTAAAATTGGTTTTTTTATAACCGATTTTTTAAAAAAACCGATTTTTTAAAAACCGAAACCGATTACACCGGTTAGGATATCCGACCCTCTAAACCGATTAAAAACCGAACCGGTTATTTTATAAACCGATTTTTTTTATAAAAAAAAACCGGATCAAATAAAAATCGATCCAGATCGGATTGAAATCCGACTTCTGTGCAACCCTACTTGATAGTTACAGTTGTCATTTCGTCCACTAGTGCTTGGGGGGAACAACCATTCAGATAAAAGGGAAGCGCGACAAATGCAGCAGGCAGATTCATATCCAACGAGTCATTTTAGGCTAAAGATGCTTGATGCTCGTGTAATATACGATTTGACTATTTGCTCACCCCCTACAAGTACTTGGCACCATTTCAGTCAAAATATTGAAAACTGGAACAGGAAGTTTTATTTATCGGAAAGGACGTTCGTAGAGAAATATCCATATCATTCCTTAAAAAAAGGAGACATTCATTTCTATATTTTAATTATAATTATTAAATTTAATAACTTATAATAATATTTGTTTTGAATAATCTGGGTGATCATAAGTTATTATTTGTTAAAAAGATTTCTTAGTCTGTCGATATTGTACATATCTTATAAACGTTATTGTTCAAATCTAAAATTTTTAGGGAGAGAATAATTTCTTTACCTTAACACTGAGGTGAAGTAAGAAACTTAAATATTCTATTTGAGCACCAAAATCATAACCTGACCAACAAAAGGACAATCCCAATGTAATTGGAATGGCAAGGGAGTGGAGTTTGTCATGGGCCTAACAGGCCTGGGCAGTTGCAATGGCGGTAGCTCATTAGAGCGAGAAGATATTTTTTTTAATGAAATCGTAAAGTTTGAAAAACCTCCCAGAGATGCACACGAGCAAAGTATATCTATCTATCTATCTGAATAAAACATGATAAAACCCAAAACCCTACTGCCTTCTCCTAAAATCTCTGCCACTCTCTCAGCTCGCAACCCCAACCTTTCCATTCTCTCGCTTCATCATCATTATCATCATCTTCTTCTTCTTCAATTTATCTCTATAGCATTTCCCGCCTTCTATGTAAGTGTTCTCTCCTCCTCCTATTCGTCTAATTTTGTGTGTCATCTCATATCCTACTGGATAACCCACTTGGGATTTTGCACTTCACTGTTTTCTTTTCTATCCTTGGTTCTTTGAGAGGACCCTGGGAGTTTCTATGCACTGAACCCAGAATTTGGAAGGTAATTTGTTTCCAGGGAAATGTCCGTTTCTTTTTTTCCTTTCATTTTCAGATGACGGTGACATCGGAAATCTTTTATTACATGGTTTTTGTTGATGATAATAATGCTCGGGAATTCTTTAATCATTTTCTACTCTTATTTATAGGTCTTCTTTGGGTAAGGTGGAGGGCGTATTTTGGTCTTACTTTATTCTGTTATCGAGTGATTTTTTTTTGGGATTTCGCAGTATGTTTACTTTGACTCGAGTTTTCAGCTTTCTGGAATTTGAATTAAGTTAGAGGAATCAGTTTGAATGCGAGGAGAACGTGGTTGGAAATGAAGAGGAAAACGCCACTTCAGCTTGCAGAACTTGAGGACTTATATAAAGGTGTTTTTGGCTCTGGATATTTCTCTTTTATTATTAAAGATAAAAAATGATGGTCCTCGGGTCATTGTTTACTTTAGTTTTCCAATCTAAATCTTAAGTTTTGTTTCTTAAACTATATTCAAATTTAAGCTAAAAACCTTCTTCTAAAGTCTACTTAACTTTAATTTAGATTTTCATCAATAGTTTCTACTGACTGATATGTGTATACGGTTACATATCCTTACTTCTTTTAATCATGTGAAGCAGATAAAATATTTCCTACCCAGGAGGAGATGGGAGACTATGCTTTGTATTTAGGACTAACTCTAAAGCAGGTTCAGCAGTGGTTTATCAATAAAAGGAAAAGGGATAAAGGAACTATATTACCTATTCGTTCTATGAAAAAACCCTCTGCTTGTACAAAAAGGAACGCCACCGGCATTTTTGCTGCTAACGAGAATCATAAAAACAGTTCTTCAGTCCGAGCAAATATCTTTGGCAAGAAAAAGAAGGAAATGCTTCTTCCTCAGGATTTGTTGCCTGCTCAGTGCATTCTAAAGAAGGTGTTTCGCAAGGATGGTCCTCCGCTCGGTGTGGAATTCGACTCTCTTCCTTCCCAGGCCTTTTTCCGTTGCGAAGGTACTCTACTAGAAGCTTGTAGCTGTAGAAAACAGATAGTAGAAAACAGACTGTAGAAAACAGACAAGTCTATTATTTTATTCTTACATACTTTTAGTAGAAACATATTACATATTTATATACAAATTATGCCTCTAAACTAGGAAATTCTAAGTTAGGAAAGATACTAATTCTAGGAGATGTAATCCCTTGAAATAAGGGATTGAAAAAACATAAAATAATTACAGAATCTCTTGATAGCTCATTTCTATAATTCTACACTCCCCTTCAAACTGGTGTATATATGTTGTATATACCCAGTTTGAATGACAGCTCATCAAAAGTCACTCGTGGAAGGGCTTTGGTGAAGATATCTGCAAGCTGTTTCTTCGTTGGAATGTACTGCAGTTGTGCAACTCCATTGTTGACCTTCTCGTAAATAAAATGTCTGTCTATCTCAATGTGTTTCGTTCTATCATGCTGCACTGGGTTTTTTGCTATACTCATAGCTGATTGACTGTCACTAAAAATCTCAAAATTCTTCTTGTCATCTAAGTCCAGTTCTGTGAGCAGTCTTTTAATCCACATTCCTTCACATATTCCGAGAGCCATTGCTCTAAACTCTGACTCAGCACTACTTCGAGAGACAACGACTTGTTTCTTACTTCTCCAAGTCACCAAATTACCCCAAACGTAGGCACAATAGCCACTAACTGACCTTCTATCAGTTAATTCACCTCCCCAGCTTGCATCCGTATAAACCTTCACTGTTCTATCTTGATTTTTTCTAAATATAAGTCCAGCTCCTGGGGTAAACTTCAAGAACCTTAGAATTCTGTTAACAGCTTCCAAATGTTCTTCTCGAGGATCACTCATATGTTGGGCTGACAATGCTCACCGAGTATGCAATATCAGGCCTGGTAAGTGAAAGGTAGATCAACTTACCAACTAACCTTTGGTAGGTTTCCTTGTTTACTGGATTTCCAGTCCGGTCCTTGCAAAATTTCAAGCCTGGCTCCATTGGAGTTTCAACTGGTTTGCAGTCGAGCATCCCTGTTTCTGCAAGAAGATCCAAAACATACTTACGCTGGTTTATGACCAGCCCTTCTTCGGACCTTGCAACTTCCATACCCAAGAAATACCTCATACTCCCTAAATCCTTGGTTTCAAACTCCTTTGCAAGATTCATCTTTAGCTTTTCTATTTCTTCTATATCACTGTCAGTTATAATCATATCATCTACATAGACAATTAGGAGGGTTATCTTACCACTCGGTGTAATTTTTTTGAATAATGTGTGATCCGCTTGGCTTTGTTTGAAATCATTCTGTGTCATAGCCTTAGCAAATCGATCAAACCAAGCCCTGGGAGACTGTTTTAAGCCATATAAGGATTTATTGAGCTTGCACACAGTTTTCTTAGTGACTTTTCCTTTTAATCTGGGGGGACCTCCATGTATACCTCTTCTTCAAGGTTCCCATTCAGAAAAGCATTCTTTATGTCCAGCTTATGCAATTTCCAGTCCATGTTAACAGCTACTGATAACAATATTATGATGGTATTCAATTTTGCAACCGGTGCAAAAGTCTCCTGGTAGTCGATGCCATAGGACTGAGAAAAACCTTTAGCAACCAGCCTTGCCTTGTATCTTTCCACACTCCCATCCGAATGATATTTGACTGTGAATATTCACCTACATCCAACAACTCTCTTCCGTTCTGGCAAATTTGTCAAACTCCATGTCTTATTCTTTTGCAACGCTTTTATCTCCTCTTCCACAGCCTTTTTCCACTCAGGAGATTGAAATGCTTCTGTCACATTTCTTGGGATTTTCACACTGTTAATGCTGGCAGTGAAGGCCTTGAAATTAGACTGTAATTTCCCATATGCAGCATACTTATTTATGGGATGAGCAGTGCATTTTCTTACCCCCTTCCTAATAGCAATAGGAAAGTCATCAAGATCAACAGTAGTAGCCTCTTGGTAACCATCATTACCTTCTGTTTCAGATGCAACAGGATCTGAATCTGGTTCTTGGCTTTCAGAGGTAACAGGATCCGAATATGGTTCTTGGCTTTCAGAGGCAACAGGATCCGAATCTGGTTCTTAGCGAATGCTAGGCTGACTGATTTCTTCAGCAACATCTTTCCTTCTTCTTGAGTAAACACTGAGTTGTTTCGGATGGGGGGTTATGGTTTCAGGGTCATTGTTAGGTGCATTTTTAGTAGTGGTGGAAGGTGTTTTGCACGGACTAGAGTTCTGAGATAAGGAGAAAGGTAATTCATCAGAGTTATTTAGGTTATTCCCATCACCCTCACTAGGAACTGGGACAGTGCTAGCCGGCTTTGGAGAGACAGTAATAGGTAAAGAAAGGATAGGCTGTAAAGAAATATTTGTTTGAACAGGCTGAAATTCCTTATAACTCTCCCCCTGAATTTCTGTTCACGAAAAATAAGGTTGGTTTTCAAAAAATGTAACATCAAAGGAGACATATGTCTTTTTTGTGGAAGGTGAGTAACACTTGTTACCCTTCTGACTCGAAGAATAGCCCAAGAACACACACTTTATGGACCTAGGATCTAATTTCCCTCTGTTGTGGATATGAACAAAGGCTGTACACCCAAACACCCAAGGAGAAAGACTTGAGTTTAAATGTTTAAAATGGGGAAAAAGCTGAAACAGAACCTTAGTAGGAATTTTGAAATCTAAAGTCTTACTTGGCATTCTATTGATGAGGTACGTGGTTGTAAGAAGAGCTTCCCCCAAAGATACTTAGGAGCATTAGCAGCAAACAGAAGAGACCTAATAACCTCTAGAAGATGTCTATTTTTCCTTTCTGATACCCCGTTTTGTTGAGGTGTATTGTCACAAGACGTAAGGTGAACAATGTCTTTTTCCTTAAAGAAATACCCAAGAGTTTTATTCAAATACTCACTTCCATTATCACTCCTCAGAATTTTTATTTTTGTGTCAAATTGGGTTTCAACTTTTTGATAAAAACTTTTAAAAATAGTCTCAACCTCAAACTTTTCTCTCATTAAGAATACCTATGTTGTCGTAGAGTAATCATCTATAAAAGACACAAACCACTTATACCCAGAAATACTTTTGACAGGAGAAGGGCCCCAAATGTCACTATGGATGATGGAAAAAAGTGTTGGTTCAAATTTGGCTGCAATATATGGTTTTCTGGTGTGTTTGGCTATTTGACAAATTTCACAGGAAAACAAGGATGGATCTTTATTTATAAATAAGTTCGGTAACATTTTGGAAAGAGAGTAAAAATTAGGATGACCTAATCTAGAGTGCCATAACATCTTGTTGCCTTAGTGATTGTTTGCTTCTATTTAAAATTATCGTTATTTCCCTAAAACAACAACAACAACATCAATGGCTGTCATTCATTTGGTTCCTTAATTTTGTGGTTTTGTTGAGAATCATTATTATGCTGAAAACCTCATTCCCTTCCCGGTGCTTATCCATTGATATTTTTCAAGGTTTCCATTTTGCTAAGATAACAATGTGATTTTCCTTGTTAATGCCGTAAATATAACTGGTGAAATACAGCCCCTAACTAGTGAGTTTTATATATTTATTTTCTTATTGTTTCTTTTTTTAAAACTTGATCTATATAGCTTAAGATTAGTGAGAAAGAGTCAGGCATATGGGTTTTTTGTTCAACATTGGTGCGTTTCAATTTTTTTAAATTTTCTATATACAAGGTAAAGATTCCATACACATGTTCAATAACATGTTGGATAAGTGTTTGACAAGGGCACTCGACCTAACACTAAGGGTTGGAACAAAGTAGCTTGTTACAATTTGAGTTTTGCTTTTCTAGTATTCTTGGTTTTCACGCTGTATTTTGATGTATTTTTGAACTTATAACTACTGTATTTAGGTTCTAAAGAGTCTCATCCTACTGATCAAGTGTGTGAAAGAGGAGCAGCCAAAAGGAGAAAGGTACGGAGAATGTTTTCAAGATGTTCATCTCCAGTTCCTACATCTGTTTTCTTATTTGTTTTACTTTTGCTTCTTGTATTTAAGATTTTTGAGTTTATCGGCATGAACCATCAGAACAACAGTAATGAGAAAGCCCCAATGAAGAAACATGGAATTGGAAAAGGTTTGATGACAACTTGGAGGGTTGTGAACCCTGAGGGTGGATATATTCCTACTGGCATTGATTTTTCTAGTCGAGAAATTGGTGCTCCTCAAACTCGTCCTGCAGTGCGAAGGCAACCACCTCAGAACAAAAGGCGGCAGCCTTTAGTGTCTCAAATGGTTAGCTATCAATTATTTGAGTTGCACGATTTTATGTTGACTTCTTTCTGTTAATCTTCTTAGGAAGCCTTTTATTTTTGGTTTTTCATTATTCCATGAAAACCCAGTGGTTATGCTTTTGAATGGCCATTTCCTAGATTTTTGTTTATGGTATTGTGTTGAAAATTTGCTTACTTCAGATTGCAATTTCAGAAACAGAGAAGTTTGGAAAAGAAGATACAGGAAAAGAAGAGGGCTTCCATTAAGAGGAGAGATGTACATATGGTAATTTCTATTGCATTTTTGCATTTTAATCTTAACTTCTCTATAACTGTTGTATTAATGTGCACTTGCCTGTTTTGTGCCAGTTGCAATCTAACAAAAATGACAATCAGATGCAACCACGCAGAGAAAAATGTGAACTTGCTTTGGATGGAACTGTATCCAATGAATGTCTTGATCAACTTGCAATGCTAGTTGATGATGAAGAATTAGAGTTGAGGGAGTTAGAAGCTGGACCAAATCCATTAACATGTGCGGATCATCTGGGTACAAGTGGATTGCTTGGTTGCTCCCTTTGCAAAGGTTCGTTGGCTTTGTAGTTTATGATTCTAAGAATACTTGAGTAATTTTTTACATCTTACTTGTAGCATTCATATGATGTGCATTTATAAGGTATTTTATTTAGTTCTATAAAGATCTGTTTATGGTTTCCCAGATTTGCTGGCCAAGTTTCCACCAAGTACGGTTAAGATGAAGCAACCATTCAGTATGCAACCCTGGGATTCTTCTCCCGAAACTGTCAAAAAACTGTTCAAGGTGCCTGTTAAGCCTATAGTTCGTTAATGGTGTTCTTAATTCAATATTATGGCAGCATGTTATGAGTCCCGTTCATTTATTTTTCTTAACTGTGTTGCCTGACTATTGTTTACATTTCTTTTTCAGGTTTTCCATTTCTTGTATACCTATTCAGTAACACTTGACATATGCTCATTTACGCTTGATGAGTTTGCTCAGGCATTTCATGATAAGGTTATCTCTCATCTATATTGTACCATATACTTTGAAGTTCTTAACTTGGCTTATATTTATTTTTCTCATTCTAAACATGTGTGTGTATCTCAGGATTCCTTGTTACTTGGTAAAATTCACGTTTCCCTTCTTAAGCTTCTTTTATCTGATGTCCAAGAAGAGCTGAGTGGTGCACTTTTGCCTCATTTTAGCTTGTCTTGCAAGTTTCTTGCTCTTCTTCAATCGGTGAGTAATAATCATGCAGATTTTTTTGGTTGGGTCAAGAATTTTGATCTCTGTCCCGGTGTATACTCTAATTTAGTAAAAGATATTGTTACTAAGTTAAGGGAGTTGAATGGTATTATTAGATGGGTTGCTAGGTCAGCCAATGTTGAGGCTGATAGTTTAGCCAAAGCTGGTATTGGCTAGTTTTACATTTGTGATTTGCTTTTGTAGTCTTTGGGTTGGATTATGTAAAGGGAGTGTTTATGTGTTGTTAAACATTATGTATATTGTGGTTTTTAATGAATCCTAAGGCACTCTTTTCCTCCTTCCGCTGATTGAGAAACACTTAGTGTTCCATTAATCATGAAGGGGGTTTTTAACGAGGCCTACATTCCTATCAAAAAAAAAAAAATTATGCACCATATTACTTTGACAATCTGTTTACTTGGGAAAGCCTTGGACAGTATTTTTATATTTCTTCCCATTGACATAGATAAAGTTATTTATATTCTTTTTGATAAGAGTTTCAAAGTGGTGGACCAAAAAATAGGTCTGGATTCTGTAGTTATTTGACTACAAAATAGATCCATTGAAAAGGAAGTGCTTGACTGCTTGTCAGACAAGATTCATTTTTTAATGATTTTTGTTGCCCGAGTTATATTCACTTAATAAGACTTTGGGGCATCAATCAAGATTGAGTTGGAGATGAGCTAAACTTTTCTCTGAGTTGACAACACTGTTTTCATTTATCTGTTTATTAAGCATGTCGGTCAAGTTACTTCCTGTGTGATGGCTTTAACCATGCAGCTCTAATGAATCATTGAACCAAAGCCCTTGGCATTTTAAGTGGATACATTTGTCTTAGCAAAGTAGTACATATATATGCAAAAGGAAAACAAAGAATAACAACGGAAATGCATCCGTCAGTTGTGGAACACAGTGATGTGTCGATCCTTATTTCTTTGTAAAGATTTTTTTGACAGTTGGTAACCATTTCTAAAATTCCTAGGATGTTGAGGTATTGAATTGTCAGACATTCATAGAGCTCTATGTCCTTGCTAAAAAAGGATGTGATCGTTCTCCTTTTATCAGGTAGAGAATCAAGAATTTGTGATCGACTTCTGGAAGACATCCTTGAACCCTCTGACATGGACAGAAATACTACGCCAAGTTTTAGTTTCAGCTGGCTTTGGTTCAAAACAAGGTCTATTACGCAGGGAAGCCCTTAGAAAGGTATGAGCACATTATTTTTATTTATTATATTTGGCTAGTCTTAGATTTAATTTTCTTTGGGGTTCCTTTATGGTCCAGAGATCTTTGGTTATATGTGAAATATGTCATGTTATATTAATTTTCTTTCCTAAAATACAGGAAATGGACCACATGGTGAGGTTTGGCCTACGCCCCGGTAGTTTAAAGGGTGAGCTGTTTAAAATTTTGTCACAGAGAGGAAATAATGGGCTAAAGGCTTCAGATTTGGCATTGTCTTTGAAAGTAAGACTAGGTTCTTTAAGCATTTATATTTAGAAAGTGAATTTCTGCTGCAGAATCCATCTGAGCTGAAATCCTCACTGTAGTCACCTTGTTTTTATCTTTTGAAGGTTACTGAATTGAATCTCACTAGCACGACTCAGGAACTCGAAGAATTAATATGTTCAACTCTTTCAAGTGATATTACTTTATTTGAAAAGATTTCATCATCTGCGTATCGTCTGCGCTGTAGTTCTGTTGCAAAGGACAGCAATGATTGTCATTCTGATACTAAGGATTCTGGAAGTGTTGATGATGACTCCGATGACAGCAGTGATGATTCTGAGTGCGACTCAAGAAATTACTATCAAAGGAAAATAAAGCATGATAACCGTTTTAAAAGTAAAAATAACAATTTGGCAGTCCACACTGAAATTGATGAAAGCCATCCAGGAGAGGTGTGGTTGCTAGGACTTATGGAAGATGAATATTCTGACTTGAGCATTGAAGAGAAGCTGAATGCATTAGTGGCTTTGATTGATCTTCTTAGCGCTGGTTCCAGTATCCGAATGGAGGTAAACCAGTTTCATCTGGCCAAGTTGACATTCCCTTCCACCGCCTTTCTCGTCTTCACCCCCATAAAATTGAAACAAAAATAAATAAATAAAAGAAGAGGAAAGATTGAAAAAGCTCCTCTTCTGTTCCCTTGTTTGGTATGTTGCTTTCGTGGTCACTATTTTTTCAAATGGATCTTTCTTTTCCATCATTCCTTGAGGGCCCATGATCTGTGCAATCAGGATGGTTATTTTGGATAAAATATTTACATCAAATATAAACTACTGATCACTTTCTTTACTTCCTAGTATTTTGAAGGTTGTAGGTTTTAGTTTTTATCTTGCTTAAATGTTTTCTGTTCTACTATGAGGTTATGATTTTTCCATAATTCCTTACCTGATAGAGTCTCATTTTACTCATTATTTCGTTTTTCAGAATCCTAGTAAAGCCATTGTTGAGTTTGTTCCCAGCATCCCTCGCTATGGTTCTGGAGCAAAGATTAAGAGATCATCAACTCGACAAAATTTTCCTAGGCCATCTTGGGTCTATGGTGGACAAGAACCACACACATCATCAGACTCTCGCCCCGTTGACTCATCAGCATTTACAAAGTTTTTTGAAAAAGAAAAATGTTCTAGCAGTGGAAAGGATGCAAAACAAACCGAAGTAGGAGTTTATATACACCCAATGCAATCTGTATTTTTGGGCTCTGATCGTAGGTACAACAGGTATTGGCTTTTCTTGGGCCCTTGTAATGGATATGACCCTGGACATAGGAGAATTTACTTTGAATCTTCTGAAGATGGTCATTGGGAAGTCATAGACACTGAAGAGGTAACCCTCCCATCATATAATAATGGATGTCTGTTGCTTCATTTGTTATACGTTCGGTTAAAATTCATCTCATTTTTTTTGATAACATGCCTTTTCATTATAAAGTGAACTCGTTATCCAAAGATGAGATACTTAACCTGAGAGTTTGGAGTTCTTTTCAGTTTTCCTTTTGCAGACAACGGAGTGATTGTTCTCATGTTAACAAACTTTTTACCGTTATTATTTGTTTGTCTCTTACCACGGTGCAGGCATTGCGGTCCTTGTTGGCAGTTTTGGATGACAGGGGTAAACGTGAAGCTCTTCTTATTGAATCCTTAGAGAAGCGGGAAACTTCACTTCGTCAAGAAATGTCGAGCAGACATTTATGTGGTTCAGAAATCGGGTACATGCAATCTGGTTCACCTGAGATGGATGCCGCAAGAGAAAACAGTTGTTCTCCTGTTTCTGATGTTGACAACATAAGCTTGACAGTGGCTGTGAATGAATCTTTAACCTCGTGCAGTGCTATAGTTCTTTATGCTGGGAAGAAGGGAGAAGAACAAAAACAAATGTGGAAACGTCTTCAAGAATTTGATGTGTGGATATCGAATTACTTTTACTTGAACCTTAATGCTGTAAAACACAACAAGTGTTCTTATCTTGAGTCGCTTACCAGATGTGAAAGTTGTCATGATTTGTACTGGAGAGATGAGAAGCATTGTAGGATTTGCCATACCACATTTGAGATTGATTTTGATCTAGAAGAGAGGTATGCCATCCATGTGGCTACATGCAGACAGGAAGGAGACAACAGTACTTTCCCGAGTTTCAAAGTCCTACCATCACAGTTGCAATCACTGAAAGCTGCAGTCCATGCAATTGAGGTGCATTTCATTTCTTTATTGCTTTTTGTCTTGCTAACTTTCTTTGTAAAACTAAATCATATATTGCATCATATGAAAATAAATAACACAGGCACGTCTAAATTCCATACATCACTGTTATATGACATAGTATGCCTATGCATGTTCATCTTTCTTTTACCATCGCCTTCTTTTTGCCAAGGACTGTTGGTCAGGGCACATAAAACTCATACCAGCGTCTCAATGTTTTTTTAGTTTCTTTATGTATTTTATTAATTCTACTTGAATATTAAAAAATGAAAATGCCAACGCTTTTCACAAGAAATAAAACGGGTAATGAAGTCTCCAGTCCCCACTATCTTTTTTGTGAAAATGGTGAAGGAAACTGTAGAAATCAGAGTAATTCTCTGTAATTTCTTATTCTTTTCAATAGGACAAATTACATATTTATATACAAATCATCTCTCTAAAGTAGGAAACTCTAAGAAAGGAAAAATACTAATCCTAGGAGATATGATCCCTTAAAATAAGGGATTGTAGAATATTTACAGAATCCCTTAATTAAAGGATATTTACATAATCATATATTTCTATAATTCCTACACTCCCCCTCAAGCTGGAGAATATACATTGTATAATCCCAGCTTGAATAGGAATTTATTGAAAACATGCTTTGGTAAAGCCTTAGTAAGAATGTCTGCAACTTGTTCTTCTGAAGGAATGTATGAAAGTGTGGTTGTCTTTTTGTTAACTTGATCAGCAATAAAATGCCTATCAATCTCAACAGGCTTTGTCCGATCATGTTGAACTGGGTTCTTGGCAATTTGAATAGCAGATTGATTATCACACAAAACTTCAAAGTGATCCTCTTGATTAGTGACAAATTCTTTCAGTAGTTTAAGTAGCCAAATTCCTTCGCATATTCCCAATGCTAGTGCTCTGAATTCAACTTCAGCACTACTTCTTGAAACGACAGATTGTTTCTTACTTCTCCAAGTTGTAAGGTTTCCCCAAACAAAGGTGCAGTAGCCACTAGTGGATCTCCTTTCAGTAAGGTCTCCGACCCAACTAGAATCTGTAAAGATCTTAACAGTTCTGTCTTGTGTCTTCTTAAACATTAAACCGTGTCCTGGAGTTTTCTTCAAGTACTTAAGAATTCTATTTGCTGCTGCCATATGCTCTTCAGTAGGATTAGTCATGTGTTGACTTATCACATTTACAGGAAATGTTATATCTGGCCTTGTCAAGGATAAATAAATTAGTTTCCCAACTAATCTTTGAAATTTCTCTTTGTCTACTAAGGACCCATCTTCTTTGTTAAATTTCAAGCTTGCCTCCATTGGTGTATCATTCGGCTTACAACCAAGAAAACCAGTTTCTTTGAGTAAATCAAGTACATATTTTCTTTGGTTGATCACAAGTCTTTCTTTTGGCCTTGCCACCTCCATTCCTATGAAATACCTTAGCTTTCCCAAGTCCTTGGTTTCGAATTCCTTATTTAACAACTTCTTCAAATTGCAAATCTCTTCTTCATTATCTCCGGTAAGAATTATGTCGTCCACGTACACAATAAGGATAGCTTCTTATTTGTAGAAGTTACCTTGATGAAAAAAGTATGATTGGCGAGGGATTGCTTGTAGCCGTTTTTTAGGATGACTTTAGTGAACCTCTCGAACCAAGCTCTGGGTGATTGTTTTAACCCGTATAGAGATTTGTTGAGCTTGCACACCTTGTTACTTCCTTCAACAGACTTTAAGCCAGGTGGCAACTTCATATAGACTTCTTCTTTAGTTTGCCATTAAGAAAAACGTTTTTTACATCAAGTTGGTGTAATTTCCAATCGCAATTTACAACCAAACTTAGGAGTACTCGAACAGTATTAAGCTTTGCCATAGGTGCAAAAGTTTCTGTGAAATCTATCCCATATGTTTGTGTAAAGCCTCTGGCCACTATTCTAAGAAAGGAAACTCTAAAGTAATTCTCTGTAATTTCTTATTCTTTTCAATAGGACAGATTACATATTTATATACAAATCATCTCTCTAAAGTAGGAAACTCTAAGAAAGGAAAAATACTAATCCTAGGAGATATGATCCCTTAAAATAAGGGATTGTAGAATATTTACAAAATCCCTTAATTAAAGGATATTTACATAATCATATATTTCTATAATTCCTACAGAAACTTTTTGTGCATTATGATGATACTTGATCTTTGAAACACATTTAAGCTATGCAAGGGAGCAAATCGTTTAATGTTATTAACAAATCATATATATTTTTAAATGTTTGGTTTCATGAGAAGTCTGTTGTATCTTTTCTTTCTTTAGTAGAACATGTGAAGATTCAGGATTGTGTACAATTCATTTATATATGTAAAATATTTAAAAGGAGAACAAACTTTATGCTATTATTTTAATTTAACCATTGTGTCCATTTCTTTCACTTTCTATGCAGTCATTTATGCCTAAAGATGCTTTAGTTGGTGCTTGGACAAAGTCTGCTCACAGGTTGTGGGTCAAACGGTTGCGACGGACATCGTCTTTGTCTGAGCTTTTGCAGGTAGTCTTTTTTTTAATTACAAGCTTAAGAGTTCTTGAAGTAGTGGTAAATTTTTTATGCTGACACTAATTGTAAAATGGACCATCTCAAATCATGTTTGCAGGTTGTTGCCGATTTTGTTGCAGCAATTAATGAGAATTTGTTGAATCAATGCCATATTGAACAAGAGGGTTGCACTATTATTAAAGAAATCATAGCATGCTTTCCAACCATGCCCCAAACATCATCTGCACTTGCACTCTGGTTGGTGAAGTTGGACGAGTTCATTGCATCATATTTGAAGAAGGCTCATTCTGAAAGGAACTTAAATGGGACCAGATCAGGTATATACCTTTATCTACAAAGTTTCTTTACATGTGTGGTGCTCTGGTCATCAAAGTGGAACATCTTGTTTCTTTCTATTTACTACATGAATTGTTTTGTTTATAAGGATGAAGAATCAATTTTCTATGTAGAATGTGATTGTTATGCATTTTAATTTTTCAAATACAAGTAGTTGATATTTGAGTTTGTGAAAATCACACGGGGATCTTTCCTTATTCTAGTTGATGGTGATGGCAATTTCTTATTAAGCAGAGAATATTTCTAGCAGTTTAGATGATGTTTTCAAGAAATAACCTTGAATCTTGGTTTTAGCTGTAGTTAGTTCTCCTGGAATTTCTTCCAGGCAGGACAATATATGTTTTATCCTAACGTAACAGGAAACTAGTTTGCAAATCAAATTAACACTCACATCCCATTTTAAATGTAGTCTTGATGATGGATTGAAAAAGATAAGAAATGTAAAATTTGTTTGTTGCCAAATGTTTATCTCTATTCCGTTCTGTACATGTGACAAAGGCTGCCTTGTTTATATTCAATTTGTATCTAGAGAAACTAGAAGGATATCATCGGCCATAGTGGCATTGAGGCTGGTTATTTTGAACTATGCATCTGTCTCTCTTTGTTTTCTCATCTTTTTGGCAATGTTTGAATATGTAACCAGCCTGGGCAGCTACATATATCCAGTAGCCTGTTAATTTTCAGCTAAACAAGACTGGTCGTAAAGTTGATTGTTTAGGCAATTATCATCTTTAGAATCGATGGAATGAAATTAAAGAAAAGTGGTCAAATTTTGAAAGGGAAATCATTCACCCTTTGAGCTTTGCATCATGTTTCATTTTGTTTTTTGTCTGCTTAGGATGTGGAAAATAAACGGTGGTCCTCATTTCATAGTTTCCTCTGAACTTTCATGATTTCAATATTTATGTACATGCTCTTCCATTCCAGATCCTTTTGCAGATTAGCATGCATCTTATATTCGAGAATTAATATGTTCTTTTACCTTTAGCGTATTTCAGATAGTGGAGCACCAGATGAATAAAGTCAGCCATTTTCAGTGCTTGTACAAAATGGGGAGCTCATTTGGCTATGCAAGGCATTTGACTTTACTTCTTTTCTCTTTGCTCTTCAAAGTACTGAACTGACCACGGTTATTATTCCGGCTATTCATCAGTGGGAGCTTTCTTTGATGCATTAGAAGTTTAATTTGGAAAGATGAAAGCAGAAAAACGTTATGAGACTGTACAGGGCAGAGTTTTGGCTAGATTTTCATTTTTGAACATTCCTCCTCTGCTTAGATAATCTAGATGTTGTACAGGGTTAGGTTCATACATATATATGCCCAGGGAAATCAAGCGTTTTTTTGATACAATGGGAACCCAAGTCAGTTACCATTTTCTACCTACCTTCGGTCAAGGTAGCAAAATGAATGTTGCAGTAAAAATCTCTTTTCATTGATGTAGACGGCAAACTGGAATAAAATGTTATCAGCGTATGTGTACCATTATCTTATAATGTTGCTTGTGGAACTTAGCAAAAAATGTTACTTGTCGAACCCAGCAAATGCATTAAGAACTGAGCTTTTGTTTCTCAATGTTATAATGGCATTCCGGGCCAAAATACATTTCCAGGTGAAGTAAAGGAGCTCTACTTTGGCGAAAATACATTTCAGGTGTAAAGGAGCTCTACTTGGGCGAAAATACGTTTTCAAGCCAAACTTCACCGCTGCTATGACGGAAGGGCCTTGGCCAACTGGTTCCAAGAATGAAACAAGATTCAGCCCTTTGAGAGTTTCTAAAAATCCCCCCAATTCCACCAGCTAACGTTGCACCATCCACATTCAGCTTCTTGTTTTTATTAATTATATCTATTCCTCAGACAATGAACTGGTTATTGCCAGATCCTTTGACATTGGATGTGTGTATTAAAACTTGTGATGCTAAGATTGATGGATTAATACTTGTAATAAACAACTCTATTTTTGTGTTGACTTCATTTTTGGTAGCTGCCTCTTTGTGCAATTGATTGGTTGTGTTTCAAATTCAACAAGATGAGAAGGTTTGAGCTACCTTCATGCACCACACTAATCAAGGCTTGCATTCAGATGAGAACGTCAAGTTGAAGCAGTTGTCTGGTTTTATGTTTTTTTCTTTGTATTACCTTCTCTTTGAATAAATTTTAAGAATGATGTAAACGTCTTTGGGGCTGCTCATCTCTTTAACTTTATTTGTACAGATAGTTGATAGCAAAACTTCGATTTTGCTTTTGTCTGTATTGTCAAACTTTGCATTTAGGAAAAGGTTGTGTTTAAACTGAGGTTCAACTTCGACGAGAAGGCGGATTGAAACGGAAACATACATCCAAAGAAGATGATGGAGAATGGGAATGTAATGCCTTGAATTCCGGGTTAATAGTTCGGGTCAACCCGAAGCCCAAAGTTGAGCAAGTGGACCTTATATTATTTTAGTTGGATCAAGTTGTAGTTAGTGGGCTTGAGTTAGGGCCCAAGAGAGTTAATGAAGGGTGATGAGTAAATTATGAAATAAAAGTATAAGAACAAAAAGTGTAGTTTACCCATAGTTATTTTGGAAATTGAAAATCCCTCAAATTATGTTTTCGCTGAGAACAACCCTCCTTACAGAACTCACCAAGCACTCTTCCTATTTTCTCATCTTCGTCTCTTCTTCCATCTTCTTTAAGTAAGATTCTCAAAGAAATTCAAGTTAGTTGGATCAATCCAAGGTAAGATTATCCTTCTAGCTTCATTTTGAGCTCCCTTTCACTAGTTTCTATCCATGAAACCAAAAAAGGGTCTTGAGAGTTTGTTTAGATGTTATTCCACCCCTAGATGGATTGATAATCCATTTTCCCATTTTGTTTAGGGAAGGAGATAGGAGAAAGCTCAAGAGTTAAAGGAAAATAAAAGTTGGTTCTTGAGTGAGTTGAGAAAGTTTCTAGCCATCCAAGGAGCAATGTAACACCTTTACAACTTTTAGTGAGTCATTAGAAGTTCAAAATAGTTTAAATGGTTGAGTTGAACATGATAAGCATTTTCATGGTGAAATTCTTGTTTTAAAGTTTTAAATGTGTTTAAAACCTCTATTATGACCCTTGTTGATCAAATAAAACTTTAAGAATGTTTGGGGACCTTACAAAGGTCTTTGAGATTGAATTATAGCATTTAAGTATGTGTTATATGATTTTCTGTAAGTAAAGTGTCGATACTAGTGGGATAATATCGATATTAGTTATTCCTTTCAAATTCTTGAGTTTCTTGACAAAAGTATCGATACTCTTTTAAGAGTATTGAAACTTTGGGTCATAGTTTGAAAACTCTTATAAAGTTTCGAAACTGGGTAGAACATAATGTTTAAAAGTATTGATTCTTATATAAAGTATCGAAACTTTTCCAATAGCATCGATACTCTTGGGTTAGTATCGATACTTTCAGTCTGTTTTGGGTAAAAATGTTAGTTTTTAAGGGAATTATACTTGAGGTACCCCAACACTCATTTTTATCAACAAATAAGACTGCAAGTGAGAATATGTGTAACACCCTCAACTCATATCCGACCCGGATACAAGTCCAGGATGTCACATTGACTAAACAAAACAATACTAAACAAAAGCCGATAAAACATTCGAACTTATTTTATTAAAATACAATAATATACATATATTAATACAAGTTTATCAAAATACTCAGAGCATACACAACTTAACCCTTTAGTTACATGCCAACATCCATTTACATAACAAAATGACCTACTGATTAAGTTGCTTCTGATCTGATAGTTGCAGGAGTAATGTTGTCCAACTGTTTAACCTCGATCGTCTACTTTATCAGATCCTAAGTGTGAAACACTCACACGCTAAGTCATCGACTTAGTGAGGCATTATAATAATAACAATAAAATATAAAGGAATTGCCAAAATGAGATGGGTTACAATGATAAGATGTATGTAAACAATGCAATAACCATAACCATGTTTCCTACACATATATACTTATCAAATTCACATTCATAAGTTCACCTTATTAAGTTCATTAGCCCATGGTACCATACTGAGAACCTAAGGTATGTGAGTATTGTGAGGTTGTGCACTATGCTGTCACCACAGCTCGTATAATTGCACTAAAGTGCCGTATAGAATTGCATCGGAGTACCGCGTAGAATTGCACCGTAGTGCCATATAATAATATCCATAAGGACCACATATCATTCCTTAAGAATCATATACATATATTAGGGATCAAGTATGTGTCTCACAAGACTTCACACATGTTCCAAAGAATATATATATATCCCGAAGGACCGCGTAGACCCTCTACCCTTGGCATGGCAACTATACCTATAGTTCTCATCTACATAACATGGAATTTCACAATTCACATAATTTGTATCACGTAGACATATTATTTTCATACCTTTATCACATAGACATATAACTTTTTCTTGCATATTCATGTCACATAATGCATATGGTATGAATTCATGTCATGTATCATAATATGAAATGCGATCATGTATCAAAATATTGAATCTAGACTTATAACAAGTCTAGAACTGAATAGAATACATATTCATGCTATGCATATGCACTCACCTAGATTTCTTTTTCTTTCCCTCGATCAATCCTACTTGTCGATTGTTCCAGAACTCGTTTAGGCTCGATATCTACATAGTAATTGATTGATACTTATCAGTATACTAATTAGTATATTCTAAACTATGATTTCTTAGGCTAAAAGAAAAGCCATTTTCATCTTTTAATGGAGGTATGCATCGATGCACTACACCAAGCATCGATGCATAAATCCTATTCGATGTTTGTATTTAATGGGGTGCATCAATTCACTCCTTATGCATCGATGCATCGATGGAATTCGATGTTTGTATTTTAAAAGAGTGCATCGATGCATTTCATGTGTATCGGTACACCTTGAACAATTTCTGGGATTTATCCTTGATGCATCGGTGCACAATGAATGTGCATCGATGCACATTACCCAAAATTTTCATTTTAGCACGAAAATCTCTTCTTAGTCTACTTAACACTTTATATTTCCCCTCTTTTTATATCCTTAACTTGCATACTCTTACTTAAACTAATTATTATCCATTCCATACTTTTAAAACTTAGAAATCCCATTCTCCATGTAGAGTTTAAGAATCTAACCCAAATTCCAACATGTTCTAATTTGAATTCTAACACTTCATACTTCTTAGTTAGCTTTATGACAAGTCAAATCCCACTTCTAATTCTTATTATGAGCTCTAATCCAAGATTTCACTTTTCTACTTCCTTTCTTTGATTCTTCATATACTCCTCATTTTATGGTTTTAAGATAATCTAAGCTTTCCTTAAGCTTAGTTATTATCTAAGGATCAATAAGAAACCTTAAATTCATCAAGAATTTGATCAATAAGAAAACTTACCTTTAGCTTTGTCTTCACGGCAGAGAGAAGAAGAATGAAGAAGAAAGAAATATCCAAAACCTTGTTTCTCTCATTAGCTTTCCACGTGGTTTATTAAATGTCCTTAAGAAACATTTAATTATTTTCCTTGTCAAAAGACTCATTTTCCCTTTTAGTTCCCCATGCTTTGCTAATTGATTCTACACCAAATATTTCAATCAATTCCTTCAACTTTCAATTTATCAACTTTGATCACTAAATTTTAAAATTTCACAATTTAATCACTAACCCGATATGGAGGATGTTACAAATCTCCCTCCCTTAAGAAAATTCATCCTCAAATTTTCATTGTACTAACATATGGGGATACTGAAGTCGCATATTTTCTTCACGTTCCCACGTGGCTTCTTCTACCTTGTGATTTCTCCAAAGAACCTTGACCAACAGAACTGTCTTACTCCTTAACTGTTTGACTTCATAAGCTAATATTCTCACTGGTTCTTCTTCATATGTCAGATCCGATTGGACTTCTACTTGTTCTGGTGCAACGATGTGAGAGGGATCGGACCTATATTTTCGTAACATGGACACATAGAAGACGTTATGGATCTTCTCCATATCTGGTGGTAAGGATAACTGATATGCCACGAATCCTATCCTCTTAACAACTTCATATGACCCAATGAATCTAGGACTTAACTTTCCTTTCCGACCAAAACGTAATACTTTCTTCCAGGGAGATACTTTAAGGAAAACTTTATCTCCAATCTCGAACTCAATCTCTTTTCTTTTAAGATCAGAATAGGACTTTTACCGATCAGAGGCCACTTTGAGGTTATGTTGAATTTCTCAAACTTTCTTTTCTACATCTTGAATTAAATCTAGACCAAGAACACTTCGATCTTTGAGTTCATACCAATTTAATGGAGTACGACATTTCCTACCATATAATGCCTCATATGGGGCCATCTTTATACTGGACTGATAACTATTGTTGTAAGCGAATTCTGCCAGTGGTAAATACTTTTCCCATGATCCTTTGAATTCC